ATATAAGCCACTGCCCTCTATCTGAAATTGTGACAGAGCATAACCCACAATTATTTATCAAAATAAGTAATTGGAAGGCATGCTTTTTAGGGCAGAATCTCTTTCAAAAAGAGTACATCTACACTTGATCTTCTTCTTTGTAATTAAAATATTACTGACATTTTACCATCAGGAGTACTATAAACAGTCACTAGTTTCACCAGTTTGAGCCCCTTCTTTTCTCTTTGCCCCGTGCTGTTACTGCCTGCTCTGTTTTTTGTCCTATAAAAGCAGTATGTCCAATTCCTGGAACTAACATTGCCTTAAATGTGCATTTGCATCAACAGGAACCCCTTGGCTAAACTTTTACAGTTGTTAAAATTTCAATATTATGATAACAGTGTGAATGCACGGCCATAAGTCGTACCATGTGTTTGGGCATATTTTGAACCTTCATAACAGATGATGTAAGCCACCCCCGTTCCCTCTAGTCACAGCTAATAAAGCGCTAGGGACCAGACCACAGTGTGTCTATAGCTCCTCCCTCCTGTACTCCAGTAACAGGCATAAACAGGTCAAGTTACCTGCAATATTTCACATTCAAAGGAAGAGACAAACATGTTGAACACAGTATCACTTGTTTTCAAATTTTAATGGGATGGTTTATTCATAATACACTTAAACCCGATTATCTGCATTCTCATTATATTTGTCCACACTGTAAAAACAAATTGTCCCAACTTTGTTATGCCTGATCTCTGTTTAACATCAGGTGGTTTTCAGATTCTACAATGATGATGTCCCAGTTGTCTTGTATACTGTATATGGCAAGGCAGGGAAAGTACACAAAGGAATTCAAAGTGCTTTACAGATTAAGAAAGACATAAAATAAATCAATACAAACAAAAATCAAAACATAAATAATCATCATAATAAACTAAGCAAAGCCAAAGTCATAGAACTTGCTATGGTGTTTCTCATCTCAGTTAAATACTATTGTAGTGCTGGACATGTTATAGGATGTGCAAAAATAGGGCTGTACATTTTATTCACATTCAAGATTCAGTTAATTCTAAATTCTAATCATCAGTGGTACGTCTGAATCTTTTTAATTCCGAGGTCCACAACTAAACCTCCTTCAGTAAAAGCATGAGGATGTGAGTTCACAATTACCTTTTTTTTTTTGTTATTGTTTTTGGCAATGAACAAAAATGTTGTCATTCAGACCATTTGCTTTTGAAAGGACAAAATCAAATCTAAAATATATTGCTCAGCCTTAAGTCCTTGTTTGAGTTAGTGGTCAATGATATATGTATTTACATATGTCTGGGTGTGAGTGATGACAAGTCACCATGTGAACTAACTCATGATGATCCATGATGAGTAATTCGTTTATTGTGAAGTCTAAGGTCAGAATCTCTTATCTGTTATTAGTCATGCGCTTTTATATTTCATTAATCTAGTTACAGAATGTCCTTTCCTGTAACTATTCAGATTGTCCACATGAAAAATGTCCTTTTTATTAGCTGCATCTTAATACCAAAGTAACAGGATAAACTGAATGGTATGGAAAAAAGAACATCAGAATTACATATCCATCCAACAGGGTTTTGTGTCTTAATTTTCCAGCGAAATGGGTCCTTGTTGATATCAATCTGAGGTGAGATTCTTGAGTTGGGAAAACCCGGAAAACCCCAGTCATTCCCAATGGGCTGACAGGAATGATGTGGAAGTGCCAGCAAAACGAGAAGGGCTGTGTCTCCACTAGTCAAGGAAGAGTAAAAATGGCAAATTTGTTTTAGAAAAGGTAAATGACAAATGAAGATGTACAGATGTATTGTATGTATGAATTTCAGAAAAAGAACAATTACATAATTAGGCATGGGGCAATACTGAAATTGTATAGACTATTATCGTTATGAAAATAACTGCATTTAACGATAATACCACAATAAAGATTAAAATGTTATGGGAATATATGAAATGAGTAAATGGTTCAGTTGTTATCATGAATTTGTTCTGTGTGTAAATAAATGTTTTAAGTGAAGACAACAATGATCTAAAAAAAGAACATCATAGGTGGTGATTATCCTTATTATTATTAATATTAATTCATTTTATTTAACAACACCTTTCATGACACAAAAAGTAACTTTACAAAGGATTACAAAAAAATATGTAAAAAAATGTTGTTGATTTTCACAATAATAGAAAATGTGACTCAATGTGACCTCCTTTTTCATTAGATCAAATGAGTTGGCAACTAAACTCACTGGCTTTATAAGCATGCAGACCACACATATGATCATATATGTGATTATGAGCAGGTCTGAAGAGAAGAGAAAAGAGAGGGGGTCGGAGAGGGGACTTGGTGGGATTGGACCAGGGGCCAAACCACAACACCACACTCTATGTCTGGAAGCCATCATATTTGAGCTTAATGGGATGGGGGTTAACTCACACACACACTTTCACAAAAGCTCAGGAATGCAGCCACCACAAAAGACAAGAGACATGTCCAACAGATGTGAGCCAGATGCCCTGAAACATCATAGGTCTGTAGTGTAAATGTGTGAACTGTGTACTGCTTTAATCACACGGAGGGTCGGGTAACCAGCTTCCTCTGCTGAGGTTAGAGCCAGAGTCATTTTCTCAGACCACAATCAGCATCCTCACATTTAACCAAAGCCAATCTCATGTCTTATGTGTTATTTGTAATATTATGAAAAATTTAATACTTACAATAATATTATTTTGGAGTTAATTTGTTTCAGCAGTGGAATGCATTTTTTTCTTTCTTTTATGTGGTAACTCATTCATCCAGAACACATTGTTTTCAGTCTAAAAACACTTTTAAAAATTGTGCTAAATGTGTTAATAACAGGGCTTTGTAATGTTTGAGACACAGGTTTTAAATGAAATTAAAGGTGTGTTGTGGTTTTTAGTTACCACATAGTTGACTAGCCCCAAGCAAGCTGAATCACCGAAATTATTTTCTGTATCATTTACAATTTACAAATGTCTTTTTGAACGTATACCAAACAATAATAATCACATTTCAGACGCCTCATTAGATCTCATGTAACCATTCAAAACTATTCAAATGTCTAAAAACTGAGGGGCCTTATTTGAGCAATTATAAGAAACAACACATTTAATATGTGGTGAAAAATATCACAGAAAAATGTTTGAAGAGCGTCTTGCTAAGCCTAAAATGGCTCTCTTTTTATTTATTATATTTCATTGAAAAATGTTTTCAAATTTTCTAACCATTATTTTTTTCTTAAAATGAGTTATGACCTTTATACTAAGAGTAAAACCATTTTATAAGCATCATCACTCCCTAAACCAACACATAAGTGAACTAAATAGATAAACTTTGGCCCTTAGACCGCAAAAGAGGTCAGACATGCAATCAAAGGATACCGTGCTCATGAAGGGATGAGATGGAGAGAAGGCTGATGGGAAAGAGGAGGAGGAGAGCTATGACACTTATATTAACTGAGACTGTAGAATGAAAATACATTTATATGAAAAGAAGGGCTGTCCAGTTCATCAAAATGCAATTGAATCTTAATCAAATTATCAATGATGAGCAAGGGGCTATAGGGCTTAAAGCGTCTATTTTGGACCAGAGTTTGGACTTTTGAGGAATTTGTGTGTGTGTGTGTTGTAAATTGCTGTGAGTGGGGGAGTTGAGGTTTATTTTAAAAATCAGTTCATGAACTTGATTTATTTAAAGAATATGTATTTGTGTTTATATACTTTTTAATTAACATAAAAAATAAGATCCAGGATTTTTTATTATTATATGACATAACACCCAGAACTAGTGAAAAACTTGAGAAGTGACTGATGTAGAGGAAACAGTATAAGCATGATTGCTTAAAGCTACAGTGTGGTTGCATTTTTCATTATTTACATTTTTACATACATTTTTACAGTTTGAAATAATAAAAGCAATAACAGTGCACATTTTAGTCTATATTAAACTTCTGTATTTGTTATTCTTCTTTCAGAATGATTTTTGGACTTTTGCCATAGCAATTAACAAACTAAATTCTACATCTTTTGAGTGAACACAAATCCTCAAAATGCCACCTATCTGAAACCCAGAGGCCTCAAAATTACGGAATACACTGCCAAAGCACATATGAAACTGACCATTGTACTCAACCTTAAAAAAACATTCTTAAAAACTGGTTGAAAAATAACGAGTCATGTACCCATGGATGATCTTGAGTTTCTATTTATGCTTTTAATGTAATGTTTCTTTGTAACATCTCAGATGTGTGTGTCATGGGGATGTTTGTTGTCTTTTTGACTGAATGTTTAATCACTTGTAATTAGAGCTGAGAATCATATACGATGCAATGCATGATACATAGCTCACAATATGATATTATCACAATATGGTGATACATGTGATTACTGATATATTGCACATGATACTCTGCGATATACTGCTGTTTTTTTATGAACAAATACATTTTAGCGACAATATTTCTTTGTTAACACATTGTTTAGGATACATTGCACTATGCACCTAATTCAGATAAATAAATAAATCAAATGAACAACTTGATATGATGAAATATTTCTAGTGCATTGTCTAGTGCTTTTCCCATATTCTAGTAAATATATACCTGCTGAATGTGAGATATCCAAAAAATCCCAACACTACAATTACACTTATAATTGGGGGCAGGTTTAGACCTAGAGTTCCCTTTTTCACACAGACAGACCACACCCATCTGCCTGTAACTGAGTGAGTGAATGAGGAGGAGTTGTAGAGCCAGCACAGCCAGTTCAGCTCTTCCTCCTCACTCCCACCCACGTGACAGTGGTGTGGGCGCTCTCCAGACTCCTGATGTGAAAGTGCAGTCACATAATTGTCAGCTTTGATTGAGTCTCAGTTAAACATTCATGCCCAGACAGCTGCCTCGCCAGCCCTGCGCATTGTGTCTTAAGCGGGTGATGAGGGACCACGCTAACCCATGTCTTTCTGTGCTTTCTTACAGTCTGCTGCAGTTTCCGATGGAGGTGAGTCCACTTCACAAATATCAACTTTGTATGTTTTTCTTTTGGCTGATCTGTACATTTGACATGCAACAAAACAATCACAACATACACTGTGTAATATAGCTGGGCCTGTCAATGCCCACGTCACCGCTGGCTCTGCTGAAAACCAAAGAAGAAAAAAATCTGATTTATAAATCTAAAAATACATTTCATTTCATTAGCTTCTGATTCATTTAGCATTTGATTGATCCCCCTTTGTCTTGTTTTTCACATAATATCTACTAGCTACTTGTGCAATCATGGCTGTAAACACTTTTTAAGTATTTGAGTGAAGTTTTTGGTAATGACTGTTCCTTAGCTAGCAAATGAAAATGTTTGTTTGACTAAGCTATTAGTCCAAAAGGTCTAGCCCCTAATTTTATAATTAAGGAAGTATGTACAACCGTTTAATTTTAACTATGTATTGTTGTTTTACAAATACCAAGACAAAATTTAATCTCCAGTAAAATACCTATCATACTAGTGTGTTAAGTATAATCCCATATTTGTTTAGGAGTGGTCCTTGTAAGAAAAGGTTTCAAAGGAAGTAATCTAGACAACGTTTTTGAAATTTTTAGATTACTTTAGCTTCTATTAAGATAAAACTTATTTTGTCAAGTCATTTGCTTCAGCCAACAAGAGCAGAAACCTCAATTCCCTCATTCCACAGTTTTAACAGTCCCATCGACACCTTTAGTGAAGATAAAAGGCCCATTTTACAGCAGGCAGGAGGTACAAGGTGGAAGAGGAGGTGAGAAAAAGCACAAATAGCGGTGCAAAAGTAATCAGAGATGCAATGTTTTCAGCTCCTTCACACCCTGAGCCTCGGAGTTGGACGGGATTACAGGCACATTTGTTTATTTTTATGAATCGTGACAGTCTACCCATGAGAAGATGGTGAACGTTGTTAAATTTACATCTTACTTCTTAAAAATTGTGTGATTTGAGTTGGGAAACTGTCTTTGTTCTTATTCCTTTATCATTTGGAGATAACATGAAATGCTAATTAGTAACGGTACTTCAACATCTCCTTGTTTGTGAATCAAAATTTGTTGATTGGAGGAACTTGTGGATGATATATTATTTTGTACATATTTTACCTTAAATAACATTTGTAACAGAATTAAAATAATTTACTTAGCACCGATTGAAAGGGTTCCACAGTGTACACGGCTGTAATCTAATTCCAGCAAGTCACTGATACAGAAAAGTTTTTAAGAGGCAAATGTAAGATATGATTTTGACAAAGAACTAAAAGTTATTTATTTGATTTATTTATTTAAAATATCTAAATGCTGATATATCAACATATATTTAGACAAAATTTGCTGATATAGTACAGATTTCAGGGGCTGTTTTTTAAATTATTTTGTGATTTCACACTTTTGTTCTGGGTTGAGCCCAGTTATGTCCTGATGTAGACTTGGTTTGCTTGTGTTCTAGACCTAGTTTAGTCCTGGTCTAGTTCAGACTGGTGAACTGTGAATATAGCCGTAGAGAATGGAAACTTTATGCTGTCTGGACCCACCCACCACCACAGACATATATTGTATATAACATTATTGATGTTGCACAACTCACAATATATTATTATAGTGCACCAAGTTGATTATTATGCATTTAAATATAATCGTTTTGAACTTACAATGTCTCCAGCTTGTCTCTAAGGCCGTATGTTACACTTATTTTCTCCAGCAGAGACACAATTCGTCTCAAAGGGACAGTATCAGATCTCAAAGGCAGAATTAGATAAGAACACAGTGGTTCAAACTGTTAACTTTTACCCACAGCTAAAAGTAATCTATTATGCTCATCGATTGAAGGTAAATTGACCAAAAGAAATCATGATTACCTTGCCATTTAAAAGCGTGTACCTTTATCTGATGGTTTTGCTTTTTGTGCTAAATATAGAAGAAAAGCAATATAAGGATTTGGAAATTTTCTATATTTTAATTTGAAATTCTTTGTTTTAGTCAATAAAAATGATTACATTGATTTTTAAAGCTTAATTACATTTTCTGGTGGATGGTATAACCTGCTGGTCTCCATGGAGATGCTAAGACTTTGGCTGAAATGTTCCACGATACGGCATTAAGCTTATGTGTGTATCCCCTTAGAGACAAGCAGGTGCCGCCACCAGCCCAAGTGGAAACACAACTCTTGCTGCTGTGTTTGTCAGGGTATTTTTTAGCAATAAAACACATGTAATTAAATAAAATGTAAGCTACATACGTCAAATGCCAAACAATGGAACTTTCCGTGCACAACAATAACATCCCATTGAGACACGGCAGGAACCCTTTCCAGAAAAGTTACAAAGTGAATCTTTAAGGGAAGGAACATTGCATTTGCCAACATCATCGCAGCACTTAGCAATATACTGCTCCCTATAGCCCTGTCTATTTATAGCATTTATTCTGGTAATAACATGCCTGAAACAACAACTCTGCAGTCTATTTAGCAGTTATTGATTTGCTTGTCTGGATGCGCAGGGGTCTTGGCTTCTCATTAGTCTCAGTAGTGGCCTTCCTCTGTCATGAATACTGCAGGCTGTATACAGGTGTGTGTTGGTGCATCTACCTCCTCCTTCTCCCTCTAAATTATTCACTGTCCCATGGCTCATGTGCATGGATCACTTACCTCTCTGTAGCTCCATATTGTGACCCTACTTTCAGGTGGTTTAGGGTTTTTCCAAATATCTTTTTCTGTTCTTTTTGTGTCTTTTTGATGCCTTTTAGTCTGTATGGTTTTCTATGTGATGGTTCTGGAGTTTGAGTATGGATTATGGAGGGACTTGGGGCCCTCAGGATGCGTTACCTGCCCCGCTGGCATCATTCAGGCTCCTACCAGCTTTACCCAGGTGAGATGGGAGTGATTTCAAACTGGTATGGCTTTAATCTTGATGATAGCTCCTGTCCCGTTTACTCCAGGTTTATCCCAAGTTTATTGTTGGGAAGATCTGATTTTAGACATGTTTGTCAAATTTTAAAAAGCTATATTTGTTGCACTATTTGTTGCAATTTTTTGTTTTTAATTACTATGTAACACTTTTTTATTAGAAAGGAAACCACACTGGGGCTTGTTGATATTGTTTTGGGTTGTTGAGAATGACCTGAAAAAGAACTGCCATTACAGAGAGCAACTGTGTTCTGTGGTAAAGGCAGTTATGGGTGGTTGAAAAGCTTTTGATGTCTTTCAGTAGCTACAGTGGCCTTGGGTCTGTGTGAAGCATTCTTATGGAGTATGTTTTATATATATTGTCACTCCCAACCCTAGTATAGCAGTTCCTTACTTTAATGTGTGTAAATGTATGTGTCTAATCTATAATTGTTTATAGAGAATTTAAGTGCTATAGAAGTTAACTAAAGCTAGCTGTTAAAAGACAATGTGGTGTATTCTCACCTTTTATATTTATCAGATAAAGGAAGGCTGGCTTACTTTGTTTGTATGTATGTATCTTTATCCAGGATTACGTGATAAATTATTTAACACAGGATTGTGAGAGTAATAGTGTGAAGAGAAATACACGCCATCTTTTCAGAGCGTTTGAACCATTTCATATAATGTTGTTTCTTCACAAAAAACATGAATTACTGATTCTTCTCTATATTTAATAAAAAACAAAAAAAACAAAAAAAAACATGCTACACAAGGTGCGATGACAGGACACAATGACAGTTTGCATCAAAGCCACTGCTTCTACCAGTATTCCTAGCATGTTCCCATCCACCAGACTCAGCCTTTTTTAGCTTTCGAGATAGGGCAATGGCAAGGTACTAAAACTCCATGTAAAAAAAAAATTAAAAAAAAAGAAATAATCATATTTAAATGGAATAATAATAATTTACTACAATAATCACAACATCCTGCTCCATGCCTTTATCATTTAAAGCAATTTTAAAGTTGACTTCAATAACAAAGACTGCATTATAAACAGAATGATCCATAACTGGATAAAAAATATGAATGTGTCACCAGCAAACTGAAAATGTGCATTAATTATCACGTTTTTGATGTTAAATCACATATGACAGTAGCTGAGGGCAGCATATTTACAGGATTATACTGTGGCGGGGCACCTGATCAGCTCTCTGCCTCTGGATGTCCTTGTATTCACCGTTATCTCCTCTGAGCAGCCCACTTTAGTTCAAGTGTCCTCCAGCTTCATCATTGGAGTTATTTTCAGGTTTCCTCGAGGCCTGGTCATGTAGTTTTGAAAGTCTGCAAGTAACACTGAGATCATTCACACAGAAGCACTATTTTTGCATAGAACAGAGAGACTTACATACATTTATGTGGATGCTTGAGGGTCAACGTTTTAACTTATAAGAACGTTTACTTATTGCTGTTCCAAAATTGTTCTGATCTTTACTATGGTGGTTTATTTCTATATGGAATTACAGTACTTGAATTGTATTAAGCCTCTAATTACATTTACCATTGTCATGATCAGATTCCATCGTATATAACATGAGCACTTGAGAGCCCCACAGTCTATTTCTGTTTTTAAACAAAATCTTAAAACGTATCTTTTTACTTTTGTTAATTGTATTTTATTTTTGTATTATCTTATTAATTCCTGCAATAGTTTTAGCTTGATCCACTGTTTGCTGATGCACTTTTTACTCATTGTTTTTACCTGTAGCACTTTGAGATTATTTTATGTAAAGTGCAATATAAATAAAATGTATTATTATTATTATTATTATTATTATAACATTGCAAAAAGCAGTTATCTGTAATGTGTATACCACTGTTGTTTTTTAATAGCTGGTAAGATTCATGTCCCTTCTCTCTTTGAAAAACAAGACGAGCCAATGAGCCGGGCCAGAGGCGTTATTATATATAATTTTAATTTGAATGATAGAGATGAGTCATATTATTTATTCATCATTATGACTTGATTTATGCTCTGTCACTCACACCATGCACAGATCAACGATTAAACCACAACCATTTTTTGGTGTGCAGAGCTGAACAGTGTGGAGCTGCAGGGCTGCAGTAGTGACAACAGTCTGAACAGTAATGCCAGTCTGCCCAGCGTCCAGAGCCACCGGCGCCACACTGACCGCAGAGTGGCGAGCTGGGCCGTGTGCTTCGAGAGACTGCTGCAGGACCCCGTGGGAGTGCGATACTTTTCGGTACTGCTCTGTACACCTGTCACACAGCTCATCAACTCTTTATTGTTTATTGTCTAACCTTCATCTCTCATGGATTGAAGGAGTTCCTAAAGAAAGAGTTTAGTGAAGAGAACATCTTGTTCTGGCAGGCCTGTGAGTTCTTCAGTCATGTCCCTGAGAATGACAAGAAGCAGGTACCACTTTGAACACAAGCTGCTCCTCAATATGGCCCATAACACTTGTTTGGTCAAACACAAGATCTGTGTTTCTTACAGCTGTCTCAGCGTGCACGAGAGATCTACAACAGCTTCCTGTCGAGTAAAGCCACGACTCCAGTGAACATCGATAGTCAGGCTCAGCTTGCCGATGACATCCTCAATGCCCCGCGCCCCGACATGTTCAAGGAGCAACAACTGCAGGTCCTCTACATACAATACATCTATCATCTGTAGCCTTTGTCAAACAACAACTATACACAGAGGATGTGCAGAGCCAAGCTCTCACATGAGGAACAGGTTCCAACAGGAAACTATTAGTGCACATAAAAGTGCATCAAAAGCTCTGCCATTAAGTTATAATAAGATTTAGCACTCACAGGTCAGCCTGCTGTCGAGCTGTCTAGCTTCACGGAAGTGAGTAGATTAGTCTGTTGCAAAGAGGGGAAGTTTCTAAAAGAGCTATTGATTTGTCTGCTTAGCTCAGATGTTTAAACTCTGATAAGTGTCACAAGGCTCAAAGGATATCCACCAGGCTTGGTATGTTTCATATTAAACACATTCACTTGTGACTTGGGCTCACAAAGCACTCATTCATGACTTACATAAAACTAAACATGGTCTTTAATCTGTGTTTAAGTTTTTGCAAAAATGAATAATTCTGCCATAGACAATATATTGGACTTGATATAATTTGTTTTCTTCCCTTTAGATATTTAATCTAATGAAGTTTGACAGCTACACCCGGTTCCTGAAGTCCTTGCTCTATCAGGAGTGTATGCTAGCGGAGGTGGAGGGCAGGCCCCTACCAGACCCCTATCACATCCCCAGCAGCCCCACGTCGAAGCACAGCACCACAGGATCGGACCGCTCTAACCTCTCCACCCCCAAGAAGGTATGCTGTTCCTTCTGTGAGAATCTGAGGATGTTGTTTAGATTCAAGAAAGGACAATTTTATGGTTAATAAGTGAATGTAATCTGCTTCTGTAAGCTCTAACCTAGTTAACAGTACAATTAGTGAGTGTGTGTGCATCTGAGTTTGCACATCCTGATTTGGTTAGCTGGTGTTACAGGAGGACAAAAAGAGCAAGTCAGGCCGCTCTCTGAACGAGGACAGCCGCGATGATGGAGCAGACAGGAAGAAGGGCATGTTCTTCTCCTGGTCACGCAACAGGAGCTTTGGAAAAGGCCCAAAGAAACGGGAGCTGGCCGATCTCAACTACAGTGAGTCTAATAATCACAAATACAACTGACATTGTGTCGTGTGCAGCTGATTGACTTAACTCTTTTAGATTATTCTGGGAGCAATGGACGGCGAGAATCTCAGGGCTCTCTTTCATCAGGAACAAGTTTAGAGCTTGGGACATCGGGATCAGGAAAAAATGAGGTTGGCCCAAACAATTAAAAACATAATATTAACAGTATGTAATACAGTTGACTGAAATTACAATAGTGATTGACATTCCATGTTCTAAAAGCTCTACTCATTGGCTTCTCTCTTGGTGGTTAGGTGGATACGTCTCGTGGTGCAGAGAGAGGAGGAAGCAGCGCCCCCTTGAGGCAGTGTAACATAAGCCTGCCTGACGGCTCATGTTGCTCTGTGCCCCTGAGATCTGGAGTGTCTATCAGAGATCTGATGCTGGGACTCTGTGAGAAGCTTTGCATCAACCTGGCAGCTATAGACCTCTTTCTGGTGGGAGGGGAAAAGGTACATAAAAACACTCCTTATGTAAAAATGCAATGTGGTGAACAGTTTATTAAATAACAGTTACACTGAAACACAAACAGACAATTGTAGTTATTTTACTACTACTTGTGTTTGTCTCTTTGCAGCCATTGGTTTTGGACCAAGATTGTATGACCCTGTGCTCTCGAGACCTCCGCTTAGAGAAACGCACTCTTTTCAGGTAATGGCATGATTGACTGTTGGTCTAAATTATTAAAACAATTTATATTGTACTGCAAAAATAAATATTGTTTTATTCTTTAACAACAGACTTGATTTAGTCCCCATTAACCGTTCAGTGGGATTGAAGGCAAAGCCCACCAAACCAGTGACTGAGGTCCTCAGGCCTGTGGTGGCCAAATACGGCCTACACCTCTCAGACTTAGTTGCACATATTGTATGTATGGATCTCCACATGAATGTGTACAACAGTATTTTTGTGAAGTCCTCATTTTACCTGTTGCTCTCTGTGATACAGAGTGGGGAGTCAGAGCCGTTAGATTTAGGTCTTCCTATTTCCAATCTTGATGGACTACGGGTGGTATTAGATGTAGCAGATCAATTTCCTGGGAAAGGTAATACACATAGTGATCATACTGATCAGAGAATTGTGATGGATGATGCATTTGTCCATTCCCTTCACCTGTATGTTTTCTGCAGATAAGCAAAAAGTAGGGCCTTCTAAGAGCCATGCCCCTGCCTCAACAAGCAGAAATCAATCAACAACAGTAAGACCTCCTCCAGCTCTGTTTTTGTTATTGTCTTGCACTGGAATGTTCCATAACCTCATAACGAATGTCTCTACTTCCTGTTCATGATGTCACGCCGCTAAGTGTCTTTCCTGCTGTCCTCAGTCCACCACATGCGTTTGTGTTTAAACCTGTTCAGGTGTAATGTCTGTCACGCTGCAACTGTTTGTAACAGTATGTGCACTGTATGTGATGCCACCAGTCTGTCTCACTATTGGCCGATTGCATTTGTCCTCCTGATCTTTCATCACAAATCCTCCTCTAAAATTAACATAAACTGGACATGGTGTTAGGAGTTAGTCGGTAGTTTATAGATTGTACATTAGTTGTGTGATCTTCCAGTATGACTGGTTCTAGCTGGTAACTGGTCTAATCTGTTGGTGGTGTAGTATGTGGTGTTTATTGGATTTTAGACATCCGTCTCAGTAAAACATCCTCACTGTCTTTGAAGTCATACCATTATGTTTTGAATATGTTCTAAAATGAAGCCTCACATGTTCTGCGGCCATGTTGTCATCACATTTGCCGTACTCCAGGGCTCTAATGCCCCCTCCACTCTCCTTGTGGCCCTCAGGGGGAGGACAGGCCTTCAGGGAAAGCCGGTTCAGCCCATTCCCATGGGGAGAACGGCAAAGCTCGGCCAAGCTCTGATACAAGCAGCCAGCCTTTACCCAACCACTCTGTCTCTCTCCTTAAGGCTCCGGAGAAAAGAAAGCAGAAAAAGATTAATATAGACGAAGCTGAAGGTAACCACTGAACAAGCTATTTTCTTTTGTGGTGTATAGTTTCTATAGCCGTGTCACTGTAACTCACAAACCTTTGCCCCTATACTGCAAGTGCTTCCAAAGCTATGTGTAGCACACTCACAGTGAATGTAGCTTTGCCTTGACTAACATTCTCTGCATGTTTCCTAAAGTAGTGACTCAGTACTCTTACAATGTTACTTGAAGGATTTAACCCAAATGTTGTGTGTGCATGCTGTTGTTTTTGGTGTGTGTGCGTCTCTAGAGTTCTTCGACCTCATATCCAAAGCTCAGAGTAACCGAGCAGACGACCAGCGAGGCCTGCTAAACAAGAGCGACTTGCAGCTCCCTGACTTCCTGCGCCTGTCGCCAACGGAGCCTAGTAGCTCCACCCCTAACTCCCGTCACCCCAACAACGGCAGCTTTCCCAGCAGTGCCCGCCGCGGCAATAAGGCCAACGGCAGTGACAAAGGCGGAGGGGGCACGCACTTGCTCAATGCGAGCCATCAGTCCCAGAGCCTGGACTCTGCACTGGGCAACGGCAGTGGGGGAGGGAGGAGAGGTAGAGCCCCCCCCCCATTCCCAGGCAACATCTCACCCATCCACCCGCCACAGGGCAACCAGCGCCACTCGGCTCTGCTGCAGGACTCTCACAGGGGGGAGTCTGTGCAGATGTTGGAGGAGGACACCTTGTCTGACCTGACTCTAGTGGGAGAAGGGGACATAAACAGCCCTAGCCTCAACTACGTCACTCCTTCCGCCCTACAGTGCAAACCCCCCTCACACCCTCCACACCAAGCACAGGACACTAGACCCAGCTCAGGTACCTCTGCTGTGTGACCCTGTGAAGTGCTCTTCACCTCTTGTGTTTCTTTTCTTGACTCCAGCCTCCTAAAGTCTTTTTTAGATGTCACTTTCAAATCAGATCTTTAAAAAGGTCTGAACTGCCCAGTATGCATCCTGAGCTTAAAACCTTTATCGACCAGTGTGATTACCAAATCCCTTTGTGCACATATTTCTGCATACAAATGTACTATAGAACTACTGTAATTAAATACAGGAGTAAAGGAAGTTTTTCTATTGTAAAAAAGTGAAAATAATCAAGTTTCTAGTGGATGCATAGGGCTGAACTTTACTGTGTGGTGTGCATCTGTGTGAACTTCTGAGCTGTGGATTTTCTTTGTGGTAAAGACCTCAAGGACAAGTTTGTGCAACCGCCCTTTCACCAGAGGACATCTTTCACAATGCACTTTAGTCAGCTGAGAGTGAAATATTACACTTTATTGGTCCATCATGTTTTGTATTTAATCTTAGTGGTTGTTCTTATTATTAGAGTGGCTATATGTTAGTAAGAATATTTCCTTACAATCATATATTATTCAAAGTCATAGTACATGGGTCTGTACACAACGTACAGACACATGTACTCTTTTTAGTGCATATTTGTACATAAGGGCTGCAACAACTTATCAAATTACCATACCATTTGCTGGAATATGTTGTTTCATCAGAAAAGATGAGTTTTATAAATCTGATGAGAAATGCTTTTTATCTGTAAAATGTTAAACTATCAAGACATCCTCTGTTTGCTCTTTAATTTAATCAGGTGAAAATATGTTGAAACTGGCACAATTCAATCCTTTCACTGGTCAACAGTATGATAAGTAATTGCAGCCCCAGTACACATACCACCTTGGACCTATTTTAAAAACTAGAACACAGGGCATCCTCTGTCTTTGCTGTCTGATCACCTCAGGCTTATTTGTCATAGTTCGTAAACAGTGTACTTTTAGTGCTGACTCATAGATGCCACTCCAGTGCTAATGTTTAAATCAGTCTATTTAGTTTCATTGCTATTTTTATTGCACTACATCACGCAATACATTCACTCCATCAGATAACACTCTTAGCTGGAAAAGGGGACTTGCATCACTTTGTAAAGGTTTATCTGAACTTTTATCATGTTCTATATTTTCATTAAAGTGGTAATTTATCCCAGATACTTTTACTTTCTGTTAAATAAAAAGTATTAATTTGTATATAGTCAACCATAAAACAGTAGTTATTGTTGAACTGCATTGAACTGTGTTTCAATAGAAAATGCCTCTCCTCTGTTGAGTTTCCTGTACTGTTTGTAAATAGATCTAATAAATGGTTGTTAGAGGTTGAACTCTCCATGGAGCCTCATGTGAGCGGCCTTCGTTTCTTTTCTTAGACAAAAACAATCTCTGATTTGTTTTTTTGTCTGGCTGTTTGCCATGTGTTTACATGTCTCACTGTGGCCTGCAGCGCTTCTCTGCTAACAGGCAGGAACTATGACTATCCGTGCACAGATTAATATTCTGGAGTCGTAACTAGAATGCAAAAAAAAAACAAAAAACAAGTGCAATCTGGGATAATCTGACGTTACTGCTTTGCTATCTCCATCTTTGCCTGTTTGTGTCCCTAGATACAGCAGGACAGCACCTTTGTTTGAGTGCACAAAAGCTTTTGGGGTCCTGGGGCATTAGTTATGCATGGGTCCCTCTCAGCTCCATGCCTTGTTAGACAAGCTTTGTCATGCTGGTCCCTTTAAACTGCACAAACAAAACACATTTCTTCCCATCAACACACATGAATTCCATTGAGAAATGCAGGGATGTTCTGACAGATATCCTCTATCATGTTTCTAAAACTTTGAATTTGGACATTTTTGTTTGAGAAAATTATAGACCTAAGAGAAGAATCAGAGCCACAGTGACTGTCAGAAAGACTGTGCCAAAACAAAACAAGAGAGTGCCAGCACAAGCCGACCAATAAAGATAGTCTTATTGAAGTCTTTGTGCACTGCACAAAATGTATATTAATGCTGTATTAAACCCTAACCCTTTTCAATAAATCCAGGAAAGCCCACTTCTAATAAGCTGTAAAATGGATACAGCTCTATAGACCTTTTCCCAGAGCCTATGTGCACTACAGCCAACAGTAATTGCTCCCTTGAGCTCCAGTCTAATTAGACTCTTTCAAATGGCACCATCTGCTGGTGGTGAAATAAAGAGAGAGGAAGTATCAAAGGGAGAACTGATGAGGACCAATTTTGTCCATTCAAACAAATACCTAGCATCAACGCAGATAACATTTTGATAAAAAATGTGCTTGCATTTTAAGGTTTTTGCGCTATCAACATACATAATAAATGCATAATAAATACAGTACACCTGCAGGGAACACAATGGTGAAAATCTCTTGACTATTCTAAACAAAACTGCGCAAAATATGATAATTTATTATCTTAGATAATATCTTTAAAAGGGCAGAAAATTGAAAACTAAAATGTATATTTTTTCTACTTCTTGTGGCCAGTAGATGGCAGCAGCCAGCATGAATGAGTGACATGCCTCTCTGTTATGGTTCAGTGAGGCAGAGATACTACAGCACAATCTCGTCATGTTTCCTGTTAAACCATGCTGGTCTGAGCTCTTATCCATTAGATCCAGCGGCTCTCACTAAGGGTGCCTCCAGCTGCCAGCTGAGATAACTCACTCAGCTAATTATCCAAATGTCTCCCCCCTAAAAATCAATCAATGGCAGTACATTCTTCTGCATTTCTGACTTTCAACAAGTGTTTTGTTTCTGACTTTTTAAATAGCAGTAAGTTCAACAGTTCAGTTTATTTGACAAAACAGTTTAGCATCAGAGTATCTAAATATGGTTAACTGCATGTAGATTTTTTTAAATACTGAACAAAGTGTTGGTTTCTTGCATGTTTTCACCTCTGGGTTCTGGAAGTAAATTTCACATTCATTTTTCCCAGTGTCAATGAGCAAATAATAATTTAGAAGTCTGAAATCTTGCTCAGGGTTAATAAGCTAGAGAGACCTGTAATTTTATTTAAACTCTGTTTCTGAAACATTGTAAATTATTAAAACATTTTGCAAAATCTTACATTATAAGCATGCCTTTTGGATTTAAAACTACTTTTTGGATTTACAACAGCTGGACTTTAGCTACTACATATCTGCTTAGCCTTTATGATGTCTTTGAACTCTTGATATTTAAATTTTTTTGAAAAGTCTGTGCAAAAAATTGAATGAAAAATTGACTTTCAGAACCAGAGTGGGCTTCGAAGTGGGTGTTACTGTTAAGTTCCATTTTTGGTTTTACATGTATGAGGTGCCATTGACTGTTGTGCCACATTCCCTTCTCTGTCTGGCTTGTTAGGTCATTTAATAAGTACGATTTTTCCATTTAGGCAAGGACAGAGACCGCTGGAAAGGAAGTGGCCGGGATAGTGGAGATTATAAAGTTTACAATCGAAGAGCTACATCTTACAAACCCTCTCCTTCCCCTCCACCTGCCCCACCCCCCCGTGCACCTGTCCGCTCCCGCCGCAAGTCAAAGTCCCCCACATCCAGATCACATGCTTCAAAACGGGCCTTGGATTTGGACAAGATAGGGAACTTGTCTGATTCTGAAGACAAACTCAAGCCATCGCGAAGGGGGTCCCGGGACCTCCGATGCTACCAGGGGTACTCTGAGCTGGACAGGAAGTGGGAGGGTGTAGCCATGGAGCTGCGGGGGCGTGGAAGCAGGATGAGGTCAGCGGTGTACCAGACTTCAGACATGCCCTCCATGGTCCAAGCCAAGAGACATTCAGACCCCAATGAGGTCAAAGGACATGTAGACCGTGCAACATTAAAAGCCACGTTTGTTTAAAGTAGGGTATGTCTTTCACTGCTGCAGCTGGTTCACTTTCCGCCCTCAGAGGATACTATTAGGAAGACAGCACAGAGATACAACTCATGTGTGTGGAATAAGTTTCACATTCACGCAGTACAGACAAATGTGTATGGTGTACCCTGGGAGAATGAATGCAGTATTAATGTCACAAAAATTTTTTACTTCAAGGGACAAATATCTAAATACACAGTAATAATGCAACTTTGTAAAATTTTTATTGTACATAATCTAATAAAATGTGATATTGTTATTGTGTACCTTACATTATTGGAGTCCATAGATAACAGACTGTAGTTTACCTATGAAGTTGGAATAAAAACAGAATGCACATTAAAATAAATAAATAAGTAAATAAAAACATTACTATGGATCTTGCTTGTAGGCTAAGGGCTCAGTGAAATCAAATGTAAGGTTCCACTTATTTTACATCAATTCTAAAGTGTAGAAATAGATCTAACTCTCTTACATAAGGCGGCAAGTTCAAAACCTTATTACGTCACTGCAAAATAGGCTAGATCATTTGCTAATTTTATCCACCTAAAGTGATTATTTTAGAGCAAACGTCAACAGATTAAAGCGGCTTTCCACAATCAGAGTTGAGACTTGGTTTATTAGCATAAAGCCACATAAACTAGCCCAGTTTAACACCAGATTAGTGCCAATTTCAAGTGTTAGCCGCGCCAGCAGCGGGAAGAATGCGCGCGCTCTTTAATTGAGTTTGGCCACGTTGTAAACAATACGCACTTGACGCACGATGACAACTGCACTAACTTAGTAATAATGGGGGGAGTGCAGTCTGGCGGTGGGGCCGGGGGGCAGTAAGAGGCTATTTTGAACCGTGGCCCTCGCCCCTCCCTCTCCCCGCTGTCTGTGGTTTGGGTCCGGCTCACCGGGGACAGTGCACTCAGCTGCTCGGAACCATGACTGAAGATGACGGATACAGTTGTCGCGGAAGGACAAGTCAAGTTTAGAGATGGAAAAAAGGTTTGTTAATGGCTTTTGTTTGGTTTTATATATACCTAATATTTTATTCTGCTGATCAGACAAGCGTATTTGTTGTTTCTTCTATTTTTTTCACAGTGGAAAACACGTTGGGTTGTGCTCCGAAAGCCCTCTCCAGTCGCAGGTAAAAAACGTCCTTTGACAAATGGCATAGGCCTATATTATTTTCCAAAACGATATTGCCTGATCTCTAAACTTCCAGGCTAAGCTCCAGTGTCACCAATATTAAAGGGATATTTATCTGACCTTATGTGCTGCCAAATGTGAATCAGCAGTTTTCAAACTTGTGCCATGTTCCCTCCTCGCGGTGTTTTGCAGTGGTGATTGATTGAACTAGTTTACCAAAATCGGGCCGCCTCCTTGAACCACAGTAAGGATATTAATCCCCATGGGCTTTTGTTGCCAGCTCAGTGACAGGTTTTAATTATTTGAACAGCGTCCAAGGAGTCACATTGCCAATGTCTAAGAAAAAATTAAGTTTGTCACTAAACAACTGCAGCTTTACTATATGAATTTTAAAAGTTTTTAAAGCCTTGTGAGTCATTTACTTCTTCACTCACTGCACCACGATGGAGAATTTATTTTGATGATGGAGATGAAAAGTTACACAGTCTATTACATGGTTTACAAAGTTGTTTTTAGGTAGATTATTCCTGGGTATCTTTGCCAACGGTGAGGCCAGTGAATAGACAATGAGCATGTTACACCTTTGGTGTACATTCAATTGAATGGGTGCTTTCTGTCTTGCAGCTGACAAGTGACAAGCATTTTAGTCTTACTCCAGACCTGCATGGCAACTCTAATCTCAACATTGTTTTTTCCAACATTGCTCAATTAATTGAAAATTTTTAATTAGAAAAATGTAAACACAATGGTATATGTGGGAGATAAGTTAAGTGCAAATAAATAATCTTGGTGGAAACAATTGTGTATTTCAGTTCTTGGGCAAGCTTCAGTGATATTCCAGTGAGAATGTGTTTAAACCTCCTCGTAGACACTTGCTGTGGCTCTAATTGATCACCTGTCTATTGTGGCGATTGGATTTTGGTTATCAGCTGCTGCACTGGATCAACTCATTGTTTTAGAGTTTGTTTTGACAGCTGTGTGATAACGCTCCCAGGCATGCAGTCAGGATTATAACACTACAGTTAGTTTGCGTTCTATTAATAATCCCTATAATTGACTTTTAAGCCTCACACCTTTTGAGCTTGATGTGTCTGTTTTGTGTCTCCGCTGCAGATTGTCTGTTTCTGTTGGCATACAAAAAGGAGAAGAAGAAAGGCAAGAAGGGGATTGGTCAGAAGGAGAGTTTAACACTAGAGGTATGTTTGTTGTATAAAGTCTATAGAGTGTACAGAATGGGGCTATGTTTAGTGAGTCATTGGCTTATCTCGTTTTGTCAAGTGTATTAAAAGATCCCTCAGAAGATATCACTGCTATACTGGATAATTGCCTTGAGTGAAGGAAATGAATTAATGATTGTTATTATAAATAAGCAAACATATGACAAGATCCTGTGAAATTGAAATGCAGCAAATATTTCTCACCCTCTATTTTGTGATTTAAAAAATCAACAACAAATTTTCAATTTGCCACCCATCTTCCACAATTATAGGCTGCATTACATTAAACTTCTAGAGCTAGTAAATGATATTAATTTGTTGTGCAAACAATGCTTTTACTAAAATTATTTAATAAAAATATGTTCAGCTCAATAAAAGAAAATATATGGGGCTGGGTATTTGCCCTCTGCTCTTGTCCCACACCAGCTGCTGCACCTCTCTGTAACACTGATCAAGTTTGTGGATGACTCCACTTTCATCTGGCTTGTTTCGGTGGCGATGAATCTGCTTATAGGAGGGAGATGGACCAGCTGGTGACCTGGTACAGTGACAGCAACATAGAACCCAACAACACCATCATGGACTCTTTCCTCTTACTTGGCACACCCTTCACTCAGGACATCAAGTGGGAGGCCATCATCAGCTCTGTCATCAAGTCAACCAGTAGAGGATGTACTTCCTGTGGGAGCTGTGGAAAACCAAGCTGCTAGCCCTGATGATGGTGCAGTTCTACACAGCCATTACTGAGTCCTCACCTCCTCCATCATGGTGTGGTGCCCCCAGCCCGCTGCTAGGGACAGACACAGACTGCAGTGTTTGTGAATTTTGGAATGGAAATAAAACTTATTGTGATTCAGAAATCATGCTTACACCTTGCCCATAAGTGAACCAAAGTGGTGCCATCAGATTGGTGGAATACTATAATGCTCAGCAACTTATGGTTCTGCCCTCACTCCTCAGAGGTGGTTAGAGTTGGACAAAGAATCATAGGTTACATTTATACACTGATTTTGAAAATAATGTCAAGAGAAGGGTCATTGGAACACTAAATCCTTTATGTAGTGTTTTGGGAGTGGATAGAGCTCATTGACTCCTTGGATATATAATTCATAATCATCACCACTTCACTTGTGTCCTTGTTATTAGTGATGGACGGATCCAAAATCACTGGTATTGCCCACCACTACTTATCGTAATTATTGCAATTGTCACCATGGCAACATCTGTTTTTTCCTCAGGGCATCTGTGGGGTGGAGCCGGGCCCTGGGTTTGATGGCGTGTCCTACAGTCTGTCCGTCCTGTGCCTGTCTCACACACTTGTCCTGGGCTTTAGCAACAGAGAGGCGCTGCTGGCCTGGGACGCTCGCATACGCTTCCATCTCGGAGAAGGTCTGATATACTGCCATTTTCATCTCTACACTGGAAAGTCCACTATATCTGCATAATAGCATGTGATGGCGTTGTAAATTTTTCTTAATAACTTACATGGGTAAATTACTAATTAAATAAAGTTCTATAATTAGAACCTATAATATGCATAAAAGATTATAATATTGCTCTCACCTCTAGATGTTTTTTTACGATCTGATTGATTTGTTTTTGTGCTTAGAAACCTTGAAGCACACTATGTAAATTTCTGAGTGGGGTCTGCCATCTGCCTGTCTCCAGAGAGATTGTTTTGTGTCTGTCCTTACTCGAGACAGTCCAATCACAGCCACTAGTTTGTAGCATGTGTCTGTCAAATGCAGAAGACATCTCCTCTCCGAAATTCAGATAATATTCAGAACAAAATATATAACTTCTTATACCTGAAATAAATAAGAGATTGGTGCTTCGATTGCTGATTATGTAAAAATCCCTGCTGATTCTCAGGTCTTCATGTAGATTTTTCCCTTTTTTATGTGTAAACTACCATGTTTGTGTTTGATGCAAACAGACCATGTGTCTCTCTACTCCGCCTTTTACTCACGCTGTCTGAAATCAGGGAGACAGTATACAGTTCCAGATCCACCCATCTTTGTAAAGTTTTTTCAAAGTGTGTGGTTCTGGCTGATCAGGAAAGCCCCTATCTGTATTAAATATTATTGGCCTATAGATTGTTGAGATGTCGTCTAAAACCCAGCTCTATACCGAATATAAACACGCATACAGTAGACTGCTCCATGCCCTGTGTATTATCAGTGTTGTACTCAGCTGCTGCATGTGCCACAGTGACAGATGACGAAGTGCAGCCGCTCGAGCTCAGAAACGCTTCATCATCATCACCAACTGTCCCTGTGTGACTCTCACATGTGCCAAATGTTACACACACCCTGTTAGTTTATTTATGTGTGATTTATGATGTGAATATTAATTGCTCTCAGGATAGTAGCTAAAGATTGTGTTCAAGCGAGGGTACTGTTCCATAAAAGTAATTTTGCTGAACTGAAAGTAAAAGGGAGCATCTATATAACTTCTCAATTAAGAGTGAAAAGGTGCTTTAAAAAGTAACTGACATTATAATTTCTTAACACATTACTTTGTAGAATGTCAAGGCATAAGAATTGGGTCAGATGGGTCAAATGCAGAGGACACATTTTCCAATGGACACAATAAAGTATACCATAGCTTCAACACAAATTTGCCATTTAATTACTACACCTAAGTAACAGAAATTTCTAGTCATTTCTCCTCATTTCTAGTCCACAGGTTTAGTGTGACTGTGGAGCCTGGGTCTAAACTGGAGAGTGGGCCTGCCTCTCTTCACCTGTGCAACAGTCTACTGGTCCTCACCTCAGGTCTGCCCCCCATGGTCACTGGACACTGGAAACTCTCCGCCCTCAGACGATACGGAGCCGTACCTAATGGATTTGTGTTTGAGGGGGGGACTCGCTGCGGATACTGTGAGTAACAATATAAATTTATTAATCACTGCATTTATATAGCACCTTTCAAGATACCCAAAGCGCTTTACAGTTCATTATTCATCCACTCAACACTCAGTGGTGGTAAGCTACTACTGTAGCCACAGCTGCCCTGGGGCAGACTGATGGAAGCGAGGCTGCCAATCTGCGCCATCGGCCCCACTGTGGCACCTGGAATTCCCAGTGGTCTCCCATTCAAGTACTAACCAGGCCTGACCCTGCTTAGCTTCTGAGATCTGGCAGGTTCAGGCTTTGACAAGCTGGTATGGCCACAATACACAATAGTACACAAAAGTACACAATACTTACAGTGTACCACATTGATCATAAGGAAATGTTGTTAAAGCTGTTAAATGTGTGATAAATGTAACCATGCACCAACTCGAGTAGACCTTTTATCCTCTAACATCCTCTCTCTCAGTATCCACCCTTTTAGAACATTAAGAAGTGCAGCTATTTTAACTTTATGTATCTAGATTTTATTTGGCCTGTGCCCATTGAGCATTATAGTATTTATTATTATTTTAATAGACTTTATTGGTCGGTGCTCCTTACTTGAAGATAATGTATCAAAGCATTTTTGCACAGCTGTTGAATTACTGTCTATAAATTGCCCTAATGCATTTTTGTTGGGGTCTAGTTTTCTATGTAAGGAATGTCAGGCAGTCTGGTGATGGGTGTGTAGACAACACATGCATTTAGGTACAAGATACTGTTTTGGACCTCCTGACCCCTTAGTTTTTATTATGCTTTCTCTCTGCATTTAACAGACTACAACATGTCATGTCTCTCTACTTCCATCCTCTAGAGGCAAAAACAATAACATATCTATTTGGAAAAACATCATGCAACATCTATTGGTCCATTCCACTATAAAATCATTTTGTATTATTTAGTGATGTCATGGGCACTTTTCTCAAAATCTTGGGCAAAATATAAGACATATATACTAGTTTATGCTACCACAATAAATTTTTCACATAGATTGGCATAGTGATATATTTGAGGATGTGTGTGCAGCCTGCAACCCTCAGGCCCCTCTGGAGAAACGGAGCTCCTCGGGCTCTGATTTCACTGTTCTCATGAGCAACTATTAATACCCAACCTCAGTGCTCACTTAGCCCATCACATGGCCTTTGTCAGTGCAGCCGGTCTGTTATGACCAGTATTATTATACTGAGTAAAGAAGAGGGTCTAAATCCCTAATTACAAATATATATCTGAAACATCTGCTCATCTGCTCCAATCATTCAGTTCAGTATATTAAACATATACTCTTAAAGGTTGTATGGAGGATTTTTTTGTTTTGTTTCAAATTGTCAATGAAAGACAGAGGCGCAGCAGCTTTGTAATTATGATGACCAAAAATAAAAAAATGAAAGAATGAAAATCTATCAACTGTGGACGTAGTGAGGCCAGATAAACATCAGCCAATAGAAAACGAGGCTCCCTCATTTACTATTGGCTGTTAGATTTTCAATCAAACTCCCTACGTTTCTAGTGTAAGTGACTCGTCGGCGCGCAGGATTTCGTGGTTTATGCAGCGGTTCTTAGAGGCTTTTTCAAACTGCAGCTTCCTCGCAGTTTGCACAAAGTTTGTTGTGATGGCGGACGAGAATCCACGAGCAGTTCGCCGCAAAAGAAAGTCGGTTTTTGAGGTCGCTGAAAGAAGAAGAGAAGGGGAAAAGGAGCGAAGCCAAACTGAGGTGATTCTTGGAGATTCCTTCCAGCGATGGCTTGAATGAAGCAGACGAAGGGTCTAAAAACTGACGCGTCGGTCGATAAATTATTTCTAGACAGGAAACTTCAACAGTAATTCTGAACACGCACTGGATGTAAAGCGTGATTTCTAGAGTAAAGAGGCGGGAGGAGGAGATGTTTCTACTGAGGAGCTGTGGAGGAGGAAGGTGGTGTCACGCATGAACAACATTTGAAAAAGGACTGTCGCTGTATTTCTCTTCCCTTAAAAAATCCTCTATACAACCTTTAAGGGACACACACTTACATGTAAGAAGTGTCTTTGTTATAAATTGAACTTCCAGTAGGGGAATATTGTCTCTGTTGTATTTTGAGACCACCAAAAAATACCCTTCTTCATGGCTGTGTAATAAAATTGAGTTCAGCCTTGTCCTCTGCACTGAGGGAGCTTCCATTGGGGGAAAGAGTTGCACAATAAGATGTCTTCTTGTGTTTCTTGCATGACTGAACCTGAGTGTAGGTTTACGTTTGTACATGTTTGTTTATATTTTGAGCATATGGGAACACATTCCTTTCCTTACACAAATGGAATGTTCAGATTCATTTACTCAGGCTGACATTCTGTAAGCATATACATTACAGCATCTCCTTGATTTTCTCTTGAGAGGTCACCATAGAAAACCATCTGCTCCAATGATTTGGTTTTGTCAGGTTTTGTCAATGCAAACTATTAAATTTATTTGGGCCTGGTACTACTACAGAGAATACAGTGCATGTGGGCCCATTGTTATGCACAATATACATTTTGGAGTTGCACACTTTATTTGACTGTGAACAATTGGATGATATAGTAACAACAAAGCGTAATCCAATGTAGAGCCCAACCGATATATCGGTTGGCCGATATTATTGGCCGATATGCTTGCTGATATGGGCTGATATTTCACGTGGGCATGTTATACCTCGTTATAAATCTTAGACTCTCTACATTATGTTTATTTAATCCAATTTACAGACAGATAAATGTCCTAATATGTGGCTCCACATCAGTATTTATCTACAGAGTCATTTGTCTGTGTACGACGGAGAATAAGGGTCAGATAAAAAAAAAAAAAAATGCTGGCGCTACGAGAATAAAGTCATAACATTTCGACATTAAAGTTGTAATATTATGAGAATAAAGTCGAAGTTAAAATAAAGTCATAATATTATGAGAATAAAGTTATAATATTACGAGAATTAAGTCGTAATAAAATCAAAGTCAAAGTGAAAAATGCAGCAGAAGAAAAACCTTGTTTTTCAATATAAAACCAAAAATAAGAAAATGAACAACAATTTCTTCATTATTTGCGCCTCTGGACTGAACCAGGATTGAACCAGGACTGAACCAGGACTGAACCAGGACTAAACGAAGTCCGAGACCAGACCTGGACTGAGACAAGGACTTAGACCGGGACTAGACAAGGACTGAGATCAGGATTGAGACCGGGAACAGGACCAGGACAGAGACTGGGACTGAGACCGGGACCAGACCAGGATTGAAAATGGTTTAGTCCTGGTTTAGTCCCGATTCAGTCCTGGTTCATTCCTGGTTCAGTCCGTATGCGGCGCATTAGTCCCGCATCGCATTTTAAAGTCATGGAAATGCCATTTCCCATTTCCGTGACATAAACCAGGATTAAACCTGGACTAAACCGTTTTCAGTCCTGGTCTGGCCCCGGCCTCAGTCCTGGTCTGGTCCCAGTCTCAATCCTGGTCTTTCTGGTTTGGTTCCGGACCCGGTTTAGTCCTGATTCAGTCCTTGTTCAGTCAAATGAACGAATGATACACAGATTCTTCACTTGTTCACACTTTCCCAGCAGCCGATATTCTCATAATATTACGACTTTATTTTGACTACGACTTTATTCTCATAAAATTACTACTTTATTCTCGTAAAAATATGACTTCATTCTAGTAAAATTACGACTTTTTCTGGCTTCGACTTTATTCTCATAATATTACGACTTTAATGTCGAAATGTTACGACTTTACTCTCGTAGCGCCAGCATTTTATTTATTTTTTTTTCATCTGACCCTTATACTCCGTCGTATCTGTGTGTGTGTCCGTACTGTCCCTGAACACACCCCCAGAGTCACGTCACTTCACTCATGTGCTCTTGTTTACACCCGCAGCCGTGCGCAACACTGAGATTATATTCTTTTTATGGACAATCGGTTTGAGTCTGGATTAAAAGGACATTTATTAGTGCAGACTTGTGATGTGACAGAGCCTGTGTGAGCAGTGAGTGTTGGAAATACATCGACTTTGAAGCTAGTTTAGGTTAGCGATTAGTTGCTTTAGCTCCCACACATAAACAGGCTGTTTTCTATTGGCCTATTGTAAAGTGACTATATTGGCCTTATATTTGTTACTGGACCAGCATTGATATGTAAATGAGCTGTGAATAGACGTGTGAATGATCCACTTTTATGCATATAATTAATTACCGCGGCGCGCAGCATTTACGGCTAAAGGCTAATAGCGGTAGCTTACTTTAGTAGCTAGTAGTGATGGGTCGGTCGCGAACGAAACGGCTCTTAGAGCCGGCACTTTGAAGCAAACGACGGGAGCCTGCTCCTTATTGGGAGCTGTGTTTTCTCTTATTCTCACTTTTTTCTCTTCACGTGGCGTGCAGACTCGTGGTAGTTTGACAGCGGCAGCGGCTGAATGAATAAACCAGGACTAATCTTGGGCTCGAGAGAGGGAGAGAGATAGAGACAAGTCCCGATACTCAGTCCTGGTTCAGTTCTGGTTTAGTCCTGTTTTACACATGGTTTAGATCTGTTTTAGTCCTGGTTTAGTCCTTTTCAATCCTGGTTTAGACCTGCTTTAGTCCTGCTACCCATCACTAGTAGCTAGAATGTGATCTACTGTCTGTAAATATGACACAAAGAGGCAGAAGAACAATAAATGTTGCTTAAATAAACCCAATTTAAAATCCACTAGAGCCAAACCAAATTCAAGATTTACAGTGAATTTTTACATCACTAAATATATCTGCGATTATATCGGCTATCGGCCACTCCAACTCTCATTATATCGGTTTCATATCGGCCACAACAAAATCCATATCGGCTGGGCTTTAATCCAAAGTGACACCACAAATCCCTTCAATGCTATCCATACCTTTAATATTTAAGCTCCATGACCACATCTTATAGCCTCATAGAAGTGCTGCATATGTACATGTTACTGGCTGTGTCCTTGGACAATCAGAAAGAAGACAACCTGCCTGAATGATTTTTTTGAGAAAGCAGTTTCTTTTTCTATTTTCCAGAAAACCTTGAAAAGTAACAATACACAAGTGTGAAAGTCAGTACAAACTCAGTGCAGTAGCTTTCATTCAGTGCAAAAAATGGGGTCACATTCTGTTTGGATCAAGGCCTGTGTCGTAGTGGGTCAGATATTTGGAGGATTATCAGGCCCCCACACAGAGAGACACGTGCAGACACTGTAATAAGCATCCACTGGACTGTTTGAATGGCTGTCAACTGCTCTGATCTCCCTAAAAGCAATTTTGAATCTGTCAGCAACTTTCCATGCCCTGTAAAAAGGAAATATTGTATTGGTGTTTTTGAGTGAGCTAAATGTCAGTTTGTGCCAGCTGTAGTAGACCAGATCAGACTTTTGGATCAAACTTGGTTACTGTGTTCACTATTCTTGCCAAATCTGTGCCAAATGAGGATGAAGTTTCTTGGAGGAGACACCAAGACAGTAGCCAACATGCGGCTCAAGGGCGATTAGTTGTGACTAAAATTAGGATTAGTGTAAAAGTGTAATGAGGTCAGTCATTAGGGCCCAGTATGATACTGTATCTGCTAGTGTCATGATACTAAAATATGATCCTCAATTTTGATACGAAAGAAAAGAATATACTCAATATGGATTGGATAGCACAATGATGAATAAAAACACTATTTTGATTTTAGTTTTTTTTCAACTCATAGTATTGCCATGTGGTCTCTTTGAGGCTCTGATATAGAGCCTAAAACTATTTAAGAAAGGTCCAGCTATGTCCTGTTCATGTTTTTTTTCAGTACTGATACTTGTTCAGATGTGTTTCAATACTAGTTCTGATATCTGCATAAATTGGTTTATTTGCATAATTGGTATGGTGGTTTGCTTCTCTAGTGTTAGATTTCCAGATATTATTGTGTTATTATTTTGTATTGTATCTTTTTTGTATTTGGTTTAAAATTTTACACTACACGCTTTTCCTGAAAAAGGTGCGGGCTCAATATTTTTTGCACTATATAGTAAAAAATGAATATCTTCATATTTGCAATATCCATCCAGACAACATGTATTTAAATGTAATTGGTGGGTTTAACTATCAGACAAATGGGAAATTATTGTAAAACCAAAAGCTGTCACTTTATAACCTTTTTTAGCCAATTACAACATTATTATATACATACATTCATAATATTTTTGATAATTCAATGAATGGCCCACCTCTCATAGCTATTCCTGGCTTCAATCTCATCTCATTGGCATGTTGTAAATATAAGTAGTAAATTATTCAGAATGTAAACAGTTATATTTTCAGTATGTGCTGGGTTGATGTATCTTGATGATCATGGCTTCCTATGGTGTGGGCATAGAATACACTGAATGTGTAACCTTGATACAGAATTGCTAACTGCTCATTTGACCTCAGAAAAATATTCAGGCAAATATGTTTTTCATTTTCAAACCTGTTACACCCTTCAACCTCATGCTTTGAGCAGGGTTTATTAATTCATGTAGGGAAATGTACTGTTTTGTACCAATACCACTTTTATCCTTGTCTGATAAGAAATTTCTATTTGTAAACTGTTAAAATTCTGATTTGGAAATGTGTGGCTACTTCTCAAAGCTTAAAATCAATATTAGAATAGTAAATAAACAAATGCCACATAATTATTGTTGGTATTGTATTTCTTCTCCTCTAGGGGCTGGAGTGTTTTACCTTTCGAGCTCAGAGGGGGAGCAGATCAGTTTCCTGGTCGACTGTATCGTGAGAGGCATTGGCCTGAATCGGACCCCGCAAGGTTTACGTCCTGGCAATCCAGGTAAAATCACATCCGCCCATAAAATCAAGACAACCTCTGACCTGTACATACCCTGAAAAATATATTTCTATGTCTAAAATTAACTTAAACATGCCCAAGAACTCTGTGATGCGTGACTGAATGACTTAAAAATTTGTAGTGGCTTGTTACTATAGTGAAACATGTTTGGTGTCACACAAACGACTTGTGCTCTTTGTCCCTGGGGTCAGTGTGGGAGTGTTGGGTCAGGGTTTGTCTGTGACTTGTGACTGTTGTAACATAAAACCAATTTTACTGGCATCCGAAAAGCATAAACATGTAGACAGAAGGACTAATGACAGGTGAACTAAGGCAAACTGGTGTAGGTCACTAGGAGGAAGTGACAGCTCCCCTCAATAATGCCTCATATTTTGGTGTACTATATGGGACTGCTATGTGGGGGTAAATATATAAGAAGGGGCAAAGAGAAATATATCAGTAAGTAAGTAACTAGTACCTAGTACTTAGATCATAGACTGTATGTACTGTAAATGGACATAGCTAACAGCCGCTCCGTTCCCCTCAAAGTAAAACACCTAAACAGGACAATAAACGCTTTTATTTGTTACAGGCTTCTGAAAATGTGTTGTTTAAATCCATTTTATATTTTTTCTTGAGTGACCCGTCTTAAGTTATTTGCCAGTGTTTGCTAATATGTGCATTGTTAGAGTGACCAGATGTCCCTATTTAACCGGGACATTCCCAGTTTTGAGCCCTGTGTCCCCTGTCACCAGATTTATCCAAAACCAGTGATTTGTTCCAGTTTTATACAAGAAATGCACCAGGTGTCCCTATATTTGACCAATCTGACCACTGCCAACTGTAAAGAGAGGCATAAATTGTCATTTGTTTAGGCAAAATACAGAAAACCTGCTTAAAATTGACCAAAAGACAAAGAAAATGTGACTATACGGACTCACATTAGTGCCGAGTGTGTAACAGTTTTCATTAATGACACAATCGTTTCACAGTTTTATTATTATCAACCAACCCAAACCAAGGATGTCACACTTTTTTATTTTGAAAATCTGGTCCCCTTATGCTTTGTGTCTTCATGGCAGGCATCTCCAACCTTTTTAATCCTGTGAGCTCCTTTTTGTAAAACGAGAATGCCAGAGGGCTACTAATTTTAGCGGTCACCAGAAATTTTGTAAATATAAGAGGAATGGTAAGCTGAATATGAGTTACGGTTGGATGTCTATAAAACATAATCCACTATCCAGTTATCAGTGCTCAAATTTAGGCATCAAAATGATACATTTATAAAAGAAACAGGCTTTTAATCAATCAAATTTGTGTTATTCAGTGCAATTCAGTGTATAATTCAGAAATCCCCAGACAAGCTACTTGGAAGGGGGTGGAGAGCTACTGGTAGCTCCTGAGCTCCTGAGCTACAGGTTGGAGACCCCTGCTTCATGGTAACTGCTGAACATTCCGCCAGTAGTAATACATGTAGAACACCACCAGCGTGATGTCACTGCGAAGTATGCAGTCTAAAAAAACATACCAATATACTAACTGATAATAAAACTTGAAAAAAAAAATCAAATACAAAATAGGGCTGCAAGCCTCCATAAAAACATTTATAACATGTAGTTTAGAGCTGTACAAACATGAAATGTGGTCCTTGTATCAGTTTGTTCATATTTAAGTGCATTAAAGCATACAACTGTTACATATGTACCATTACTTTGCTACACATTACTACACATGAAAAATATATGAATGTACAAGCATATAAAATAATCTCACACAACAACATGAACTTCTATTTCCTAAAATCAATGTTGGTATCCATGTAAACAGTATCCTAGAGCCTAAGCTGGAGAAGGCTATGGGGCCCTGTGTCACCCCTCAACACACTGCCACTGTGAAGCTACTATAATTAGCGCCAAGTAGCAACATTAGCTGAGAGTTCACATAGCGTAGTGAAGAAAATTGGCACCACGTGTTAGCATTAGCTAGTGCCCAGATTCTGGCTCAAGTCGTTGACACTTATACACACCGTCCCACTGCCCTCCCCTCACACACCTCATGCTAAGAGTATTAATAGTTTGCTCTAAATGTGAAAATTGTTTCTGTTTTTTTGCCCAAATTCTGGCTTTAATAAATTTTGCTGTTGTAAATTCTCATAAAGTTATTTAAAAGTTCATGGATATTTGAACATTGTAGATAAAGATACACATTTTGGGTGACAAGGGCTGATCCGCTTGCAGGGAAGACTTTGGAATAGGATTTTTATGTTTGTGTTCAGGCATGCACTTCACATAAAAATTAGGACTTAACTGGGACAAAACCATAACTAGAACAAAACTAAACCAAGCCTTCACCAGGACTAAACCTGGGCATGTATCAGCTGTTTGTTAGATATACTCCCTGATGCCACCCTCGTCATTTGTCCGGTGTTGAGAAAGAAAATAACTCTGACCCCTTGTGGCTAAAGCTTTAACTTGTCGTTATAACTAACAATTGATGATATATTTTAGATGATTATATTAAAAAAAAAATAATATGATGAACGTTATTTCAAACTATATATACTAACTATACTATACATGAATTCACTTCTGTGCTACCTTACAAATTCTACATCTGTTCACTGCAATCCACCTTATTCCGCCTCGCCCACTTTTGTCTCTAATGCTCCTAAACTGCACTTTTTTGTGATGGCACCTCTGGTTAAACAGGGATCCCATTCATGTCAATGGAGAATTTGGGAAACATTTTGCATCTTAAATATGACATACAAAATGTTCAGTGTTAAGGTGTGTTAAGAAAAACTGTGCTTTGTCTCAGTAAAAAGTTGCTAAAGTAATTGTAGAAACTGTACTGAAAACTAAATATTTGCTCCTTCTTTTGGAATAAAGCCGATGCCAATCCAGTCTCAGCAGAAGAACGGATCCTCCAGGAAACATCAGATCTGGAGAAGAGACTGAGCAGGTTGTCCAACTGCAGCCTGGCCAGCAGCACAGGTAAACAACACTGTCTGTTTTATATCATATCATACAACAGTTAAAGGTGCACTGTGTAGCTTTTGTAGAGCTAGGTACACCAGCATCTTGTCTTCATAGAGATGCTATTGCTCTGTCTGGAATATTCCATGGTATGGCATTAAACTCACCTCACCTTGGAGACAAGCGGGAGATGCTCTCTGTTACAGGTCACACCTGGGTGTGGCGTGTTCGCTCTCAGTATGAAGGCATGTTTTTTCAGCTTCAAAAACACCTAAATTTGAATAAATTATAAATGATGAATATATGTTTAATGCCATATTGTGGAACATTCTAGGCCAGCATTATAATCTCCAAGGAGACAAACCGGTGGTGGAGCCTTTTTAGAAAGGTGACATAGTGCACCTATATTATGCAAAATTGACTTGTAACAACATTGTAACATGACTTAAAGCTCACCTCTCATACCTGGAGTTGTGTTTTGTTTCATTCACACATGTTTGCTCTGTTCCTGTGATATCATGTAGTGGTAGTTTTATTTTATTTTATTTATTTAAAAGGGACAATGCATATTCATGAACATATACTTATAAATACACCAGAATTAGGCTACTTTTCATCTGTAGTGCCAGATCACATAAGACATAAGAACATAAGACATGTCACACAGTGGACAAACAAACCCTTTAACAGGAAAAAAAAAACATTGCAGGAGAGGGCAGCTACTGTAGATAGGACAATATTATGTTTTTATTTATAGTATTTTTTAGGCTTGTTAGTGTAGTCCCACATCCAGCGTCTTGGCACCTTAAGTTGCTGACACCAAATCTTCTGTGAATTGTGCCCTGTGCAATAAAATTTGCCCGAGACCTGATCCATAACAGATTAGAGACGTTAATTGAAAATGACTTTCTAAAGGTTGCCATTTTGGACCTGAAGCAAATTACAAACGTGATTTGCATATTAGTCCTCCAACATTGTGTATACAGCATTTTTATTGTACTGGGGGTCTTCTTTGCTTATAAATCACTTTTAATTACTTTTCACCATCTTTCGTAGCCTCCACTTTTAGCTGTAGCACGTCTGTTGCTGGAGATGACCACAACAGTATCTCCAGCTCCTCCTCCAGCCAATCAGAAGCCAGCTACGGACCCAGACTTCCCTTTTGGCCCGAGTCCCTATCTAGGCTTCACTCTTCCATTGATACAGCGTCTAGTAGTTCTACATTGAAGGCGCTGACTGCATCAGATGACCGCTTGTACGCCGCAGCAACAGGAAACGCAGGGACACGCCCATCTTCAGCTCAGCTCCACTCTCGCGGTCTCCATGACAGCGGGCGGCAGAGCTCATTGGACAGTGGCATTGGCATCGCAGCGAGCAGCCAATCATCAGGCAGCTTCTCGTCGTATACAGGAAGTCTGGACGCTGCTGTTGCCCAGGGAGGAGAGGAGTTCGGATCTGCACCCAGTTTAGCTTTGCCTCAAGCTTTAGCTGCCGCACCCCTCACACCTCCCCCTCCTCCCCCCACAGAGGCCCCAGTTACACCCGTCACACCTGTCCCAGACTCCGCCCCCTCCACCTGCCCTTCCTCCAGGTGTAGCACTCGTATATCACAGACACACAGTGATGAATACCATATACCTAGCATGCTTAAACTACGCTATGACACCCCGAGAAGCCTGCTATCGCTTCGGGACACCATCCCTAACCCCTCTTCTGAACCAGGCCAAAACACTTCAAATACTGAGGATTTTTGGTGGCACGGTGGCCCACCAAAAGTTAAAGATCAGTGCACCAAATCATGGGGCAGTGAGCGACAATCTACAAATAGACCACAGTCAGTCCCGGCTTGCACACTCAGTGGAAAAACACAGGTAAAAACTCTATAAACACATTTTCTTTTTTTTATTGTCACAAATAAATAGGCAGTTCACATCAACAGAATTTCCCGAGACTGCTCCTTTACACAATGTTGCATAATTTCAATACAAAATATCAAAGAAATGTTAAGGCAGAAGTGTCCTATTTGAGAAAGTCTATGATTGGACCCCACTTCGCATTTTCATATATTTATTGCTGAAATATTACTTTCTATCCTTGTACCCGTTGTGCTACAATTTGCATTTAATATTCAGCTCACAGTGTAACAGTGGAACAAGCATATTTGTAAATGATTAGAAAAATCACACCAGCCCTAGCCTTACGCCAAAGACTCTGATGTACTTGCACTTATTAAACTCTTCACAATTGCCCCAATAAATGAGGTCTACTTATCTGTTGTAATAAGCTTGCTTAAGTCCACAGGCAGACATTAAATATTAAAACTCCCTGACTTTTTCACTACTAGTCTTTACATAATACCAAGTTCATTTGAGTATTCAGTGTGTTTGCCTCTTTTAGCCCATCATATTACTGCAGTGTAATAAAAAATCTGGTCAACTAAAAACGATTATGAATTTAGTTAGTTAGTCAGTTTGACATTTTTGTCAACTGACAACTAGACTAGGGAAATGGAAGATGATTTTTTTGGACTAAATCTTGACTACAAATTTAAACTGTATGTACTTTGTATTAAAATTAGAACTAAACTGGAACTAAACCCACACTAGAACTACCAGAAATAAACTTAGCTCAAACCTAGTCTAAAAGGGGCAACAGTTGTTCAGTTGGTAGAGTGTTTGTCCACTGATCTGAAGGTTAGCGGTATAAAACCCACTTTGGACACTGGTATATGAATGTATGTGCGAAGTGGTAGTGTAGTGAGTGATTCCTTGATGTTGAGTGCCTTGAAGTTAGAAAAGAACTTTATAAAAATGTGACCATCTATCATTTACCAAAGAACGTGTAAATGTAGCCTTCTATGTTGGATAATAATACCAAAGTCTTATACTAACTTATTATACATCATTAGACATTGTACCAAGTTCATTCTGTGTGTTTTCCACTGCAACTTTTATCCTGTCATTAATATTGCAGTGTTTGTTTTGCCTTAATAGCCCATGCAACAATTGTCTTGCTTTTCACAATACAGCGTGACGTGTTATTTATTATAATGACCAGCCTGGGTAACTGGGAAGTCTTGCAAAATGCTAATTAGACTATTCTTTGAAAACCTAAAGTAGAGAAGCAGAACACTATTCATGCAGTGCCCTTGATAAGTACAAATTGTGGGAATGCAAGGTTTAACTTTTCACACAAACACTTAAAACTTAAAATTAGCTATTATCTTCAAATCATTGGCCATAATAAGATACTTAGACTAAAGTGCTGACAGAAAATCTAATTGGCTCTCAGCTCAGTGTGTGACCTGCCTCTGAAGCATCGATACAAGAGAAATGCTATCAACATGAGTCAGTCTTCATCAAGCACTGTTGTGTTGTCATAGCTGTTTTGGTATTTTTAATGCTCAAAAGCTTTGGAATTGCATGTTTCAATGGGTCTTAATTGAGTTTTTCATACATTGTGAACAGTGGTGAAAGGGCTATTATACAGTATGTCTGCACTGTCTAGTGCTGGGAGATATGACAAAAATGTAACATGATTGATGAAACTTAATTTTTACTTCAGTTTCATTTTGTCTTATCAAAAGAAATCATCATTATGTCCTGAACAAAAACAAGACAGACTTCAACTCATTGTCTTTTAACGCAAAAAATACTCTAATTTCTTCCTTCAAAGTCTGAATGCTGCAGACCACTTGCTTTTAAGATTAGCTGTTGAACCCTTGATTAAAAAGACCCAAGTTGATCATTGACAATTAGAATGATTAAAATCCAATTAAAATGTTATTAATTGCACAGCCATAAGAGCAGCACAGAATTTTAATAGTTTCATGAGTGTGTTGTTTGTTAATTTGTAGTACAGAGAAATTAGATTCACTACCATTTCTGTCATTATAATAGTACTACTACTACTACTAGTACTGCCACTGTTCTATTACTACAACGCAGTTACAGAATATAAAATTACTAAGAAAGTACATTATTTCAAACTTCATCAGTACCAGAAGTTTAGTGCTGTCCACTCAATAGTATTTCTAATGCTGTAGAGGCCCTGAATATTAATGAGAAAACATGATGCAACATACTGAAATTCCCATCTCCTGTTGTCAAAGCACGAGTCTGATTCTTGTGTCAGCAGATCAGTGTCTTAAAATTCATCTGTCGGCTCAGATAATGGCGAGGAGACTGGGTTTTACTGCCTGTGTATATTAGGTTGCTATATTAACTTAGACTCATCTTTTTTTTTTCTTTTTTGCTACTTATTTAGAATTTATTATTACCATTTATATTTTCGCTCTTTTTTATTATATTTTATTGTGATGTATGAGCTACTGTGTCCAAATAATTTCCCTTGTGGATCAATAAAGTTTGTCTAAGTCTAAGTCTAACCAGAGACACAAAGTAAATAGGTTAATAATTCTAAGCTTGTTCTGACTTGTTTAGAGGTTTAGAAATGTCCTCTTAAAAAGAATTCGGCAGAGTTACAAAGGCACAGTCAATCACATTTTACTTATATTATAGCGCTTTAAAACTGCCATTGACCAAAGTGATGCACAACCGTGAAAACAAGGATGAGAGGCAAGACGAGTAAAATAAGTTTGCTGTTATCAGTTGTCAACTAATCACAACTAATGAATTTTTTTAATAATTGGTGACTTATTTAGTAGCTGAATAATCATTTTTGATCTATACAGAGTCCAGAATATGCCATGTGCTGAGAGTGGAGGTTTATATTCTCTTCTTTCGCAATCCAAACTATTTGATGGATTGAAATAATAATTGGCAGATCAGTCGATAACAAAATTCCATAACAGTGCCACATGGCTGTTGAATGCCATACCAAATGAGGGCTGAGCCAAAATGAGGCTTCATTTGTTGATGCAGTATTGATATTGGGGGCTGTTGAAATAATATGTTGCCAGGAGCCTTTATTTTGTTTTATTTATATTGCTTATTTTGAGAAAATAAACATATATTTCTTACCTGAGTTCACTTGTAACAAAAACTACGTTCTTGCACATCTGTTTGATATTTTGAAGCAAATTGTGTTACTTTGGGTGGTGGGCGGATTAACTCAGTGGGTTCTAGGTTTGAACCATATTGGAGAGACATTGAGAAGTAGCATTAGTTGTATTAGTTGATGCATATGTTATATTATTTAGAATTTTATTTTGAGACAGCTAAAACTTATTTTACTTATATTTAACATAATTGGTTTGCTACCTCTGGGCAATTTGTTCATGTTTTTTGAATAAAAACAACTGCGTAAATGTGAGTGAAGTGCTGAATAATTAACCTGATGTGACCTCTCCCCTGTCCTTACCAGTGTGGTCACGCTTCAGACAACTACATCACCTCTGAGCAGTGGCGCGCGGTCGGAAACACATCTTCTAAAAAGGTATGAGTTTTCGGCCTGTATTACTTCATGAAGGGCAGGTGGTCTACAATTGAGTGCTCTGGGGGGCTAGAATTTCCAAAGCACAGGAGCATGAAATAGGTATAAAAATTAACTTTATGAATGATTTTGCAGGTTGAGAAGTCAGCATCAGCGCGAACCACACACATATGTAAACCAGGTTTGTTTCCACATGAATCATTGCAGTGTTATCTGATCTGGGCAAATTTGAACTATTTGTATATTTGACAGATGAACAGAACTATGGGGCTCTAGGCAATATGTTGGCACGACTCAAACTTTCTATGCCCTCTTCTCCACCACCTGCTCCTCTCGCTGTGCCCACCCGGCCCGCGACAGCCTGTGGTAAGACTGTTTGCAGCATTTTTAAATTAGTTTTGTCATTTGGCCATGCATTTTGTTTACTTTTGACTGTTTACAATTATCACACCATCTGATCCACTGAAAAACTTCAGGTCCTCTACAGCCTACAGCCATAAATCTATATTATAGTGCTCCTCTAGATTTTACTATCTACATTTACTTTCCTTCCAGTGTATACCAATATTGTCCAGGTAGAAGAATGAGCCAACCCTTTTCTAAATATCCTGCATGAGCAGCTCCTATGAAATACTTATTCCTGAGTCTGCTCATTCATTTTAACTTAAAAACTACTTCAAACTTTGGAGCTTTTCCTCAATGCAACTCAATATATTCAACGCTTCAGCAACTGTGACCATTATCAGTTTATAGTCTGATTTCTCCAGAGAACTACTTAGAGCAAACTTTTCTCAGTCTTTATGCATGGTCTAATGTGCTGTGACATACAGTATTTGGAGGATTCGGGAATACAGATGATGAAACTGAATCTCGTTTGTTAAAATGATATTCAACTAGACTGTGTTTGGCATCACCAGTATCTTGAACTTATTTTTTGCATTTAAAATGTAGCTACAACCCAGACCTTTCCCTGACTTGGTGTCTTGCTGAACATGTGAGACAGGCATCAAGTTTGACAATGTTTAAATACAGGCTAAAAGCAGTTCTGTTTAGCTGTGCATGTGACTGAAAGGTCTCTTTTATTACAAATTTTTGATTATTATTTATGTTTTGACTTGTTTGTATGGTGATGTTAATGTTTTTCTTACAAATATACAAATTTATACAAATAAACTTGCCTTGCCTTGAGGTTACTATCTGCTAAAGGTTAACATACTAAACTCCAACTTCCACCATTGGCAGACACTAAGCTTAAGATACAAGAATTCCATGTGCCATCTCCAAAAAGCACCCAATCGATATTCCTTACAATAAATAAGAACATCCATGAAGTGCTCCCCAACTTTTGTTTAATATATTTTTTGCGTATTTTATGTCTTTTTATGTTTTGTGTTTTTTTTTTTTTCAGGTATGTTGCGACAAGACAGTAAAGCTGCTCCCTCCACCTTCCTGGACCCCAGCCTGTATCTCCATAACACAGTTCATTATGTAAACCTCCCCTTCAGCGCTATGTTAGCCAACAGAGACCTCCTGTGCTCCAGTCCTGCTGCTGTCTCCAGTCTGCAAGTTGTTCACAGAGGTAATATATTAGAGTTATTATTGTATTATCTGTTTAGTTATTTACTTAACGAAAATGTATTAAAACAGTCTTTCATTATCACAACAATGCCACTGTCAGCAAAGTAATTAAAATATGTAAAACAGTAGCTTTCAGAGAGGCCATTATAAATAATTTTAATTGATATATATATGTACATTGTAGTAATCTATTCACTTACTATAACCTAAAATGTACAGGTTAAGTTTCTTCACAATGATCAGAAAGTTTTAATTCAAGAAAGGCACACATTCAACACAGAATTCACTGATTATTGTTTTAAAATCTATTTATAATTTGTATACATTTATTTAGAAACAACAAAGGTGAAGTAAAAGCATTTGAATTTACAGATTTGAAATTTCTTCACACCTTGACCCGAACTCGTGTATTGAATTAATATGATCAGCAATCAACAGCATGCATTTCTTTATATTTTCAGTGCTGTGAGGTGAAAACTTGTCATTTTCTCCCTTAATATTTAGTTCTCCGACCAGAAGAAGGCTCCACCAGTGCTATTGCCCACCTTAACCCTGGCGCCATGGAGACAGCTCAGAGAGGGGCGGAGTCTGTTCAGGGCAGAGGGGCTAGACCGTGGGACAGACTGATTCAGAGCAGAAGACCTGGGACCCCACAGTGATCCTCCTGCCTCATGTCCACTTCTCTGATATGGTTCAGAGACTTCCATGACTCATTCATTCCTATTTATACTATCCTCAGTCTGCAGCTTAAACTTCAGTGTGTCTTCAGAACAGAAACACTCACAATTCTTATCAGTTTGTTCAGCATAGAAAACTAGTGTTTGCTTATTGGTTATGATGTTTTTTCAGTCTTTTATATTCTCTCAGGATAAGCTTGTCTAAAATGTTTGCTGCTGATAGTTTACCAAACAGCTCTCAGGTCAAACATTATGACCATGACTATGTGTATGTTTGTCAGCCCAAATGAAAGAAGTTGTCTCGTATTAATAAGTGAACTGTGCTTGGACTCACAAAGTGCAGCCTCCACATCCTACTTGATCAGTGACTTTCAATGAATTTTTAAAATTGCTTTTTTGAAACCAAGAATTTTTGTAGAGCTTCAGAATCCATATTGAAAGGGAGCTGGCCATGGTAACTCCCCACAGTCACAGTTATTTAATTAAGATAATCAATCAGAAATTTAATATTCCAACTCATTTGAGTTACGATGGCTTTAGTCGAACTTAATAAACTGCATCTACTTTTGTACTGCTTCTAAAACATAAAATATTACTCCCAAGTTTAAGTGCAAGGATGGAAAGATATATTCAGTTCACTTCTTCTAGAAGCTGCCGTGGATGCCACCATCGTCATTTGGGATGTATTATTTCACATGGGGTTGTCAATCTTGACAACAAAAGAGTTCTATTAGGACTCCACAGCCGTTTTAAAGCCTCCCAGAGAATTGTGCATTGTTGACTTGGTGCACATAAACTCTGAACACTTTACTCAAATCGACCTACTTAATATGATATTTAAGTGGCAGAACTTTTTCAAATTCTCAATTGAAATGAATGGGATTAGTAGTTTAGTAGCAAAAGTGGGCAGGGCGGAATAAAGTCAGTAGTTTTTCCTTTTCACCTGTCAGTGGTCATAATGTTGTCCTGATCAGTGCAAACTTTATCTACCTTTTTATACTGTATAAAGTTTTGTGTTTGGACTGTATTACTTTTACATTGCTGTGTATTTGAAATTTCACCTAGTATAACCATCTTCAGTTGATATACCCTAAATATGTTTATTTATCTCAAATGTTGGCACAAATCTGACCCTTTGGCATCCTCTGTAACATCACAACTGACGTTAAGATCCCCAGCTTGCTTGGCCATCACTCCACATCAAAACATTCGATTGAAATAAGAAACACTGAGTTATACCTTGGTGCAAATGACATTTATCAAAGCCTGTGCGGCCAGAGTAGGAAATGAGTGAGTAGTTTCCAACATAGTAGCATTCGTCATGACTATAATCGATGTCTGCGGCTGGTCTAGTGGGGGCAGGAAGTGAAAAATAAAACTCTAAGGACTAATTTTTCACACCATTTCGAAATCAACCAGACAAATAGCCCAATAAATATCTGACGCTAATTTATTTTTATGGAGGTGGTTCACAGTGGAGTGTGTCGGAAGTTTAAATTAATATAAGAACTGTAATATCCCAATGTGTACATACTAGCTTGGTTTTATTTATACAAATGATTGTGTATTCAGGTTAAATTAAATGTTTAAACTATTGACCTAACTATGTGCTTGTATAATTAGAATATATTGAACGCTTTAGTTTGCTTGTATATATAATCCAAGCTTGCTTTTATTACTGAAATGAATACATAAATTATCTATATTTTTAAACTGTTTATTAAAATACTGCTGCTGTGGTTTTTCAATTTAATAGTGTCATTTTTCCTTTATCTCTTTTAATTTACTTTTTCCTTTGTGTAAGGGTGAATTATTTTAGAAAAACCTATTAGAAAATGTATTACGCAAATTTGACTCTTGTGAGCTTTTAGCCATGTGAGAATGTTAGTACCTCCTCAAAACCATACCTGGAGTTTTGTTTCGTTTCATTCGCACATGTCTGAGTAACCCTTATGATAAGTCTGGATCTCCAAAAGCTCTGTTCACCTTGTGATGTCATGTGGTAATACAGGAAGTACTACACTTTGTTTTTAAACTCCAATCATTCAGATAATTTCAGGCCTCGAATTGCCTATCTCTACTGAACTAAAGGTAAAAGGTAGCTGTAGTAGAAGATCACAGCCTAAATATAGAGGGTTTATGTGTTAGACGTGTGAATGTAACAAAACACAACTCCAGGTCTGTTTCTAATGAGGAATCAACATTAAAACGTTAAAAAGAAAATACAATATTTGCCCTTTACACTATAGGCTTAGCAAGTTTGATACAGAAAAAGAGAAAAAGATATTTAGTTGATTGCAGAGGAAAACATTTTCATATAATTGTCGTCTTCATGAGTTGCAGATGGTAAATTCTGATTTGTTTGCGATATATCTTTCTAGTGTGGTATCTTCTGCCATATTCAAACAGAGCTGTCTCGATTAGGCTGACAGGACAGGCAGCCCCACTGTTAATGTGTCAGTAATAATCTGGGAAAAGTATTATTTCAGCCCTTGTGCGTCACTCACCACCAACGCACCATCACTGACCTCCCACACCGATTCCCTGCACAATTTTTACATCTTCATTTCTCTGAAGGCTTCACCAAGAGACTGTCAATCCATGGATGAGGAATATACAAAAGCTTAAATATGTCAACGTGGGGCTTGGAATGAAAGATGGCAGTAATTTGTGGATTAGTGTACTAATTATATACAGATGTATTTACCATAAATAAAAATATTTGATGGTATTTAATGGTGAAATCATTTATGACAGTAGAAATTTGGGTTTTCATTCATGTAGATGTCAATCTTACAGATGCAGAGCAAGAGCCATCTGTATAAAATATCATTGCCCAATAGCATGTTGTGATGTAATCAGAAACCTGCCAATAGTTAAAAATAATGTACATGCTATAAAAAAGTTTACAGGGGCCATATTACACTGTTTTCTGATAAATGTTATGTTGTTCCCTCATCAAAACATAACTGGAGTTTCATTCACACATGTTTAACACACAAACTCTACAGATTTAGGCTGGGTTCTTCTCTCAAAACAGAAAACACTCTGTTTCACCTTGTTAAGTCGCATGGTAATACAGAAAGTGCTCCACTGTGTTCCATACACCTTCACTAGAATCATTTGGATCATTTCAGTCCTGGAATTGCCAATCTCTACTGAACTAAAGGTAAAGATAGCTGTTAACTTGATGACCACAATGAAGGCTTACTCAAACATGTGTGAATGAAACAAAACACAACTCTAGGCACATTTTTATGACATTATAATATGACTTAAAGCTCACAACAGTTGATCACATCTGACTTTTAATTTACTGAACTACAACGTGCCTAGTTCTTCCATCGTATAATATGTACCTGACACATCACCAGGAAAACTCATAAGAATCAGACATGGTTTAGTCTTAGAAAATCCACCAATTTCATTACTAAAGAAAATCCACCAATTGCATCACTAAAATATGTTTTATAATCACATTTATTCATCATTCCGATTAATAATACTTGAGATAATCCTAGAAAAGTATAAACACTTTTGATGTGATATGCATATGAGTTACAGCAGCTGAAGGGGGAATGTACCTACTGTTGGCAGTGTGTGGATTGGGTATGCTTTTTAGTAACCGGCATTATTATTATTTTAGCACAAGCTGAGCCTCTCACAGCTCATTGTGCTGGAGTCCTTGCTGGGAGATTTTGTTGGTCAAGTCCTGCATGTGTTTCTTCATCTGAAATCAAAGACAAAATAAAAGGAATTTACGGTATTGTGGTGGATACCTCTGCCACCACTCCATAGTGTCAGTATTATTTAATTTTCATTATTATTTACATTAAGTTAATTACACTACACATAATTTAATTCCGTTATTTAGACTTATATTAACTAAAATGCGTGCACTCAAATTAGAACATAAGTCTAATTTACTTACACTTGTTCTTTTTGTTTTTTTGAGCACCGGACGGAGGACCCTGGGAGAGACCATCAGAACTCAGCAAAGGGGGGGAGCACTATTTAGTTTGTTTTACTAAGTTAATTTGTTTAGTTTGTGTTAAGGTCACATTATTATCACTTATTATTTTCTGTATTATAATTATTTATTTATTATTTATTATTTGATTAAGTTATTGGTTTAGTTAGTTAATTAGTGTAATTCCTCCCTCTTGTGTTTAGCTTTAGTTGGTCCTCAGGTATTTAAACACACCTGTTCCTTTGTCTGGTTGGGTTAGTTTTGTTCTGTTCAGTTTGATTTTGAGTTACCCCAGTTGGGCCCAGCTTTTTTGTTAATAATTTGCCTAATTTGAGCCTTTGTTAAATTATATCTTTTTTGGCTTTATTAAATTTAAACTTATTTTTATACCTTGTCTTTGCCTTTCTGTTTGGTCCACTACAGTATTCTCCAACCAATATTGTGAATTACGTGTTTTCAAGTTTCACTAAGGTTTATTTTCAGTAATCTCCCTTATGGCTGAATAAAGTTTAGTTTACACTTTGTGATAAATGAGATTAAGGCTGCATACATTCCACAAAACCTAAACCTTCTCTAGACCAGGGCTGAACTAGCAAGTACTAGAACAGGACGAAACTGAGATCAACGCCAGACCAAAACAGAACAAGTGTGAACGCTGTCTTAACCAACTTCACTTTAGTAGTTTTCTTTTGTTTACTTCCAGTTTAGGATCCAGACTGTGTAAGTTCAAAAGCAAATGGATACAGAAAATATGTATTTATATAACCCTAAACATAGATTACATGACTGTTAAGATCTGATGTAAAAAGCCTATTACTGAGCCTTGTACATGGGCTGTTTTCTCCATAGACCTTGTATGTTTTCTGCTCACCTTGTAGGCAATTTCTCTGGTTTTCTCAGCGAGTGTGTTGTACTTTTCCTGGTTCCTCTTGATATGCTCTGTGTCCCCCAAACTCTCCACATGTCGCAGTTTCTGATGGGACAACTCCAGCTGCTCCTGGTAATGGTTGTGCTTCTCCACCTTGGTCTCAAAATGGCGCAGTTCCTCCTTTTACGGAGTGGAAAAGTGTATTAAAAGTGTGAAAAGATATGCTTTTAGTTTGCCTTCATTGCCTTCAATAACTGTCATTTTGAGTGGTAACAAGATGGAAAATGTCAAAATGAGTGGGGCTAGATGTTTTCATCTAACACCTGATTCCATCTACTCGGAGCGTATAGCTGAGAAATTGAATATAAATGGAGTTGCTCACAGCAATTCTCCACTGATGGGACAAAAGTTTGAGCCTCACTTGTACAGCTTGTTCACTCATATTAAAAGTTAAAAAGGCATATACAGATTGTTTTTTAATTGTAGTCGTTAATTGCCTATTATCAATAAGAAGTAATAAAATAACCATTTTACAACATTGTGTGTTTTTAATTAAGTAAGTTTAATTAAGTCTTATGTACAACCTAAAAAGTTTAAATGAGCTAATTTTGTATAAATACATAAAACTTGTGCCACTTCATTTAAATACATGACTGTTCACACTTGTCTCTTGTTTAAAGAAAATGGAAATCGAAGTGTCTGGTGCAAGAGTGTTACCTTGAGAGAGTCCAGCTCGTCCTGGGTAAGGTTGGATCTCTTGGCAGCCTCCCACAGTTCGATCACACGAGGCTCTCGAAACTCTGCAGTGATCAGGTAAAAAGGAGACAGGGCATTAAATGTGGAAGAGAAAAAACAACAACATGCATGTATGATACTGCATGGCTTTTACAAATATGTTTAAAATCACACTATTGTTTAATCAGTTCATCAACATCAATGCTTTAAGTCATTAATACATTTAATAAAGACATCAGTTCAAACGTAGGGCAAGGGGCCTATATTAATTTAGAAGAGATTTACAGTTTTTAAAAGAAATCAAATTGTGATAAGCTTCAACATTTGTGGATCATAATTATAAAAAAAAAAAAATTAAACTGATAACAAGAGAAAATTCTGAATTCTGTTTCATGACCCAGCACTTATACAAATACTAACTAGGGTTGTAACAATAACTGAAATATCATCATATACCGTCAAAAGTCTCACAATAATATCATGGGTTGTCACAATATACTGAATCACAAGTTCCTTTGCTTAAATGCATGGTTTCATAGGAGCAACAGCTTATAAACTTAGGGAACTATATATCCCATGATGCATTTCAGTGCAGACAACATGAAGAAATGTGTTTTTACTTGAATTCTTGGGATTATGATGGAAATAATTTACACCAAAATCTTGTCATCCAAAAAGTGTAATATCTACATTTATATTCGCCTCTCCAAAATATCGCAATAAATATCGTACTGTGATATGCATATCGTGATATCGTACGGAGAGATTTGGATATTGTTACATCCCTAATACTAACCATAGACAAGAGTTTGAGAATTCTTCTACAATTAACGAGTAACGTCAATAACAATTACAAGTAACGTCATGTGAACACAATATATTCCCAAATATAAACGGTGTAATGAAGTTTGAGGTGTCCCTATGTGTTTGCCCTCACCACTGTCCTCGGTGAAGCCCTCAT